TATGAGCATTTTTTCAATAATAACAGCAAATATATCTCTTAGCCTCCAGTTACCTTCCCCTAATCTCCCTGCATAAATAGCACAACAATGTAGCAAGCATTAGTTTTTAATTTATCTTTGTTACACAAATATAATAAATGCCACAACCGATGTACGAAAGAAGTCCAGTAATGGCGCTAAGTTAAGACATATACAGCTTGATGGACCGAAACATTTTAATCGGTTTATATACTAAAAGTTCCACCCCCTGATATGTCCGACTTCCTTTATCATTACCAGACTTTTGCTCATAGATTAGCATTAATTAAGTTACATAGACCAGTAATTATTTACCACCAAAGCTTTAACATTAATCAATTAATCAATAATTATCAGTACTCGAACCATACAAGCAGTGCAAACAAGAATCTCAGTTCTAAAATCGATTAAAAATCAAGCTCAAATTTTACAAACTTTATGCTGCTTACAGTATGTAATAATCTGAAAGCAGTTCTCAAATTTCCCTGTGCTTTGAATGGCAACACTAGGCCCAAATAAATTAAAATTGTCGTCGGTTTTTGTTTCCTAAATTATTTGACTTAGTGTAACAGTTCCCCGAAAAAACAAGTCAGCAACTTGAACAAGGAAGGTAAAAAAGTCAAAAATATGGAAATGACACTCATTTTGAATAAAAACAAAGATAAAACATAGACTTTTCGGAAATAGGATGGCATCTGCTTTAGTTTTTTGGTAAAGCCTGCAACTCCTTCCCGTCAGTTCTTCCAACATCATAAATCAATATAGTACAGTATGTTTTATGAGCAGCACTTTTTGATGATACTTTCAGCAAAAGCAGTGGTTTCCTTGAACGCCTTAGCATCCCACAACAACCCGTTTCTGATCAAAGCGAAGACTACCTGGAAGTTTACCAATTTTTTAAGAATAAACCAGATAACAAAGAAATGCTGTGTAGAGGAAAGTTGGGTCCGAAAACGCAAAAGCTAATTTTATAATACCAGGAAAACAATTATGCTAAAAACGTATTTTTTTGTCGAAAGAGTGGCAATTACTACAGAGAAAACATACTTTGTTATATGGATCAATGACTAAATTTTGCATTCCATGGCCACCATGCAGCATAAGGAAGGCCTGAAATATGCGAATTACTGAGTAAAATTTCACGAAAAAAAGCCTAATTTGAAAGATGCTTATACAGTAAACGTAGCGTGACTTGCTAGAGTTTGAAATGTTACTCATTTCTCATGTCGATGTAACTCGCTCGTTCTGCTCATCAGCTAGTTCAGTAGTTTTTATCGCAATACTGAGGCAACCAAGACATTTGAACTGATATAAAACTGAAAAATTGTCGAGATGTAAGACGCACTAGCGTAGCTATGTTAGACTTAGTTTCTTTTGTCATCTGCTATCTCTAAAGTAACATTTTTCGGAGGTTACTCGAATGGTCATTTCTTGCTTTCGACGCACAACCCGTTAAGTTAGGATGCCACGAAAACTAGCGACTTTTTACCTTTATTCGTAGTTTTTTCTTCGTTTTT